TGTGGCTCAGTGGTTAAGCACCCCTGGGTTCAATCCCTGCTACCAAATAAACAAACAATAACAACAACAAATCCATGAAAGAAAAACCTGATAATGTGGACTGTATTAAACTGCTCTGTAAAAAAAAATCATATTAAGGAAATAAAAAGACAAGTCAAAGACCGGGGGAATCTTTGGAAGGTATATGTCTAAAACAAACTTGTGCACAAAATATAGTAAGACACTCAACAATAAGACAACATAGTGGGTAAAGATCTGAACATACAATGCACAAGAAAGATACAAGATGGCAAAGAAGCATAGAAATGACTCTTAGTATCACCTGTCATGAGGAAAGCACAAACCCCAAGATGCACTGCACAACTATTAAGCTGCTAAGGTCTTTACTAAAGTGTAGTATCAACCATGAGGATGATGAGCAGCCACAAGAACTCTTGTGCATTGCTGGTAGAGCACACAACAGCTCACCACTATCAAAAAAAACTGGCCATTTTCCCCAAAGTTAAACCTTGTGTCAACACATGATCCTAAAAATATAGACAACTGCCTCAAAAATGTGTATCTAGATAACAGCACGCCATTACATATAGTAGTTCTATTCACAATGCCCCAATACCTTAAGCAATCAGGATGTGCTTCAATGGGTGAACAAATAGCATAACTGCTATGAATCCATGCCATGGAGGCCCTGGTGTCTCTGAGCTCCCTCCAGTCTCTAGTCTGGTCTGGACCCTGGACTGCCTTTACCTTTGCACACCTCACAGAGGGAAAAGTGAATTCTGAATAGAAACACCTGTATATGCAGCTGATAAACTCAGGCTCAGTATGCAGTTGCTGCCTATGGAAAGAGATTAAAAAGTTCTGTATGGGGTGGTAAACTCAGAAAAATGCAAGCACAACAATCCAGGCCTGCATCTTTGTCAATAGGAGCTTCCTGGGAACAACAGGCAAACATGGAGGCAACTCCAGGATCCCCACAGAACCACATCTAGGGGAGAACCTGGAGGAAGCTGCCATTAGGGCCCCTGTGACCCACCTCTGATTAGCTTAAAGGACATTATGCTACATCTTCATACCCCCATCCCAATTTTAATTTCATCTCTTTCCTCAGGTTGCAAATGCACCCTGAGCTTGGATTCTATTGATTGATTAGCTTGTTTAGTGTTGCAGAGAGTTGTGCCACTACCTAGTCCTGATGCATAACCTCAGAAATTCACTGTTCTGGTTATTCAACATATGTTTGCATATTTTAGCTAAATAGAGGCCATCATCCCATGTTTTGAGCCATCATAATCTTTATCTTTATACCCTAATCTTTATCTTTATATCCTACAGCTACCACCCACTTAATCCCAATCAGTGGATAATTAGGTTAATGCTTTCATTAGGTTTCACTGATGTAGGTTAATGCTCTCAGGATCCAGTCATTACACATCTAAACTTTCTCTCATTGGCTCACATATGAGTTTTTTAAAGGACAACTCATATCTAAACCACAATATCTATGGATACCATAAGAACATGAAAGGACACAGGGCAGCTATTATAATAGCCTTAGGTGCTACACTATGGATATCATATTAGTATTAAAGATCATAGGGAGATACTACTTTGTTTTAGATGTTATAGTATGTATATTATATTTGGATTAGAGACCACAGGGCAGCTATTATATTAGTTTTTGATGCCATATTGTGAATATTATTTTAGTATTAGAGGCCATGATGTAGACATTATATTAATATGGAAGCTGTTTTATTAGTGCTCAAGTCCACTCTATGGATACTATATTTGTATCAGAGGCCACATGTGGACACAATAACATCAAAGGCTACTATGGATAATACATTAGCATTAGAGGCTGCACATGGACAACATGTTAGCATTATCACTCCACCATAAAAGTATTATGACACTGCCACATCCAGGAAGGTGGCACATACCCTCTGGTGATCATTAGGACCAAGCACAAAATGCTTCAACTCAGTGGTGTATGGCCACCCCCTGACATTCCTGAGAAATGGATGAAATTCAGTACTATATCTAGATTACTCAAGGCCATGATTTTGGAAATTCAAACTAAAATGAAACCCAGTATCCTTGTTTTTTTAAGAAATGGTGATTGAACAAGTTATTCAAACCATATTGAGTGAAATGAATGTAGACAAAAACAGAAACTCCTACAAAAATTAACTCATAATAGTCCATAACAAAAATTGGTAAAACTAAAAGAAATCTGGAAAGAAATAAGAAAATCTATGTGATCTTAGATTTAGTGATGGTAGTGTATATTTGTTTCTGGTACAAGGGACTGTACTGTGCAGGGCCTCACACATGCTATACAAACTTTCTAATACTGAGCTACTTCCCCAGTCCTTGATGATGAGTTTTAACTCAAAATACCAAATACCAACTGACTGAAAAAAAAAAATACCAATAACATGGACTTTATAAAGTTCAATTTTTACAAAGTGCACTGTTGCAGGCCAACAATCCCAATTACTCAAAAGGCTGGGGCAGGAAGATTGAAAACTTGAGCCCAGCCTAGGAAAATTTTTAAAGGATGGGATATAGCTCAATGGTAGAGCACTTGCCTAGTTTATGCGAGGTCTGGGGTTCAATCCCCAGCACTACACACACATACACACACACACACACATTTTTTTCCTACTCTGTAAAACATGGCAAATAGTTATACAAAATGATGTTCAGCATCCCATATCATCAGGGAATCATAAATTAAAACAATAGTGAGGTAGTATGGCACAGCTATTAGAACTGCTGATCTCTAAGAAACAGCAGTGCACCAACAGCTGCAGGACGTGATACCAGCAGTCTCAGGCATTACTAGAAGAACATATGGCATGGCCACTTTGGAAGATGATGTGCCAGTTCTTCCCAAAGCAGAAAAATCCAATCTATGACCCAACAGTGTCCCTATAAATTATCTTCATTTAGAGAAATCCTTTGAAAAACTATGTCAAAACAAAACTAGCATGTAATTATGCATAGCAGCTCTATGATGCTGATCACATCATAAATAAGAACGTCCTCCCATAGCTGAATGCATAACCAACACAGAATATAAAGGAATGAACTACCACCCTACACAGAGACATAGATAAATCCTACCTGGTATACTGCTAAGTGAAATAAGCCAGGCTGAAGAGACTACATACTGTATGGCTTATCTTTTATGACATTCTAGAAAAGACCAAATTACAGAGGAAGAGTTGTGCAGGATGAAGCCCAGGAATCTCCCAGCACGGGAGTCTCCATCTACATGGAGTTGGGGTGTACCACCCTTCCTGTGGTTTTTCTCATGACCATCCTCCATCCTGAAGCTGTCCTAGTGCCCACCAAAAGTCCTTATTAAAGCACAAGCCCCTCCTAGGCCCACAGGAGATTCTGCAGGGCTTAGGAGCTCTGTGCAAATAACCAAGGTAAAAGAATCAATATTAGAACAAAAGATGTTCCTAACACCTCAGTCACTCAGCAAATATGAAGATTTTAGGAGTGCTGAACCAGGAACTGGGTGCAGAGGCTGAATGTGTATTTCTTATTGTGTCACAGTCCATAAGCTGGAGCAATAATGAATTATTGCTCATAATGGAACAATGAAATAATTATATGGCAGAAACTGGGAGCTAGATGGGGTGAGAAGTTACGATAAACAAGGGGTGAAGGCAGAGGGATCTATGTCATAAGGGGTCAAAATCCACTGACTGCAGATCAGTATACACTCACATTTTGCTTAATACATTCACAGATGGTTCCACATAAACATAGTTATAACTAGGGGATATAAAAAGATTAGAATACACATACACTTCTTTGCATTGTCAGTTGTGTGTATAAAGATGCAAGATGAAATTTTTTATAGACTTTTTAAAGACCTTTATTTTATTTGTTTATTTTTATGTGGTGCTGAGGATCGAACCCAGTGCCTCACACATGCCAGATGAGTGCACTACCACTGAGACACAACCCCAGCCCCTGCCAGATGAAAGATTTTAATATCACTCTCTAATCAAAGGATCCAGGACTCTTTAAAGAAATGGCTGATACTAAGAGTAAGACAGTAAATATATAAGTCAGGGTAATTTAAATATCAGAAAGAAAAAACTTTGGAACAAAACCAGAAAATATGTTAAAAGACAACAAGAGATAATGGAAATATCTCCAATGGAAAGAATTCCCAATGGTTAAAATAGGGATGAATTGAGCAGCAAAGTACTATTTAAAAAAAAAAGAAAAAAAAACAGCTTAAGGGGCTGGGGATGTGGCTCAAGCAGTAGCACGCCTGTCTGGCATGCGTGCAGCCTGGGTTCGATCCTCAGCACCACATACAAACAAGGATGTTGTGTCTGCCGAAAACTAAAAAATAAAAAAATATTAAAATTCTCTCTCTCTCTCTCTCTTTCCTCACTCTCTCTTTAAAAAAAACAGCTTAAGGGAACTATCCAGATGACTGGTATAAATAAATGACTGAATACACAAACAAATGAGGTTGAGTAGAAACCTCTTGTGCAGAAGAGTTCCATATAATTGAGAAAGACACAGCCATCAAGGAGGTAGAGCTAACTCTCTGATCCCTAAGTGTGGGTTCTGCACTGTAACTTCCTCCAGAAGAAGACAATGTGGATATGCAAAAAAGAGTAACTTCACACTAAGAAACCTGAAAGGCCCTTCCTCAAGCAGGTGAGCACAATCAATACTAACATTTCACCTTGAGGACATGAGATGATAGAGCTGCTTTTCATCTCAGTGACCAGCCTCCCCAGTCCAATAGCCCCAGGCTAAATATGAGATTAAACAAGGAAACATGAAAGGCACTGCCTCAGCCAGGTGAGCACAGTCAATACTAATATGACAATAAGGACAAGAGATGACAGAGCAGCTCTCCACCTCTGTGACTTGTCTCCCCCAGACCCACAGCCCCAGTTTAAATATGAAAAAAAAAACAAGGAAAATTCAATGGAGAACAATCTAAAAAATACCTGACAAGTCATCCTCAATACTGTCAAGGTCATCAGAACAAGGAAGTTCATAGAAATTGTCACCCCAAGAGAAGTCTATGGAGACATGATGACTGGATGTCATGTTGTCTCCTAGATGGGATCCTAGAACAGGAAGACACAGAACTGAGAATCCAAAGGACATATGACTTCAGTTAATTGTAACATACCAGTATTTTTTCTTCATGACAAATGGTCTAAGATGTTAACACTTTAGAGACAGCTCACCTAAGTCATAACAAGGGAAGAAACCAGGTTGAGACTACCTGGGAAATCTCTGCACTTTCTTTTCAATCTCTGTATAAAGATAAAAATAAGCCTGGCATGGTGGCACATTCCTGTAAGCCCAGCATCTTGGGGGGGCTGAGGCAGGATGATTTCAAGTTCAAATCCAGCCTCAGCAACTTAGTGAGGCCCTAAGTAACTCTGTTAGACCCTGCCTCTAAATAAAATACAAAAAAGGGCTGGGGATGTGGCTCAGTGATTACGTGCCCCTGGATTCAATCCCCAGTACCCCCACACTAAAAAAAAAAAAAATGATTAAACTACTCTAAAGTAAAACCTTAGGACATGGTTATATTTTCTCAAACACCTACTTGTTTAATTATTCATACAGTTAATTACTGGTAACTGACATTCTTAGCTAGTTCTGTATTTTATTAGGAATATTTATAACACAAAAATCAAATAGTTCAAACTCATATAAAATTGAAAGTATGTGGCTCTTTTACATATTTCATGTTGAAGTAATAACATATGTTAACTTATTATATTTTTATGCTGTCACTAGGTTCTAGGTTTGTCTTCTTAAAACTTGATCACTAGAGGGAGAAAAATGACATTTTAGAGATTCTATTTCAACTCATGGTTTAACTTTCCCTAAAGAATGACTTTATTAAAAAAAAAAAAAGTCCTAATACAAATTGACTCACTGTGACTGAATCACTTATCCCAAAGAATCCTTGTCTCTATTTTATTTCTATGCACACCTTTTAGCAGCAATATAATCAAATATTTGTCACTGGGACAAATAATCACAGAAATAGTCATCTCCTCCAACACCTCTGCAGGAAGTGGTGAGCCAAGAGAAGCAAAGGTGTCAGCTCAGTCCAGGAGTGATAATAGATGCTGTTGTGTTGTGGGAAAACACTCTACCTTTTAGAAATCACAAGGAGCTATGGATGCCCAAACTCTTGCATGAGTCTAAATCTAGTTGAAATTCTAAGTAATTTTATTGTCACTAGCTCATCATGAAGCTAATGACAACTAAAGGATCTATGGGGCTGGGGATGTAGCAAAGTGGTAGAAAGATTTCCTGGCATGCAGGAGGCCCTAGGACCAACCCCCAGAACCACAAAAGGAAAAAAAAGAATTTGTGTCTTATTTGTGTAATCAAATAGAAAATAAATAATCATTCCTCTTAAGGAAACATGTTGGACCTAAAACACTTGAGACTCTCAGAATCAAAATACTCTCCTTATAGTGTATTGCATACCTAGACCATCATGAACGGTGGTGTCACATCATAAAGCATGTTCACATTAAGCATACCATCAAAACAACAAAAAGGCTTTATTGACTATTGATAAGAAAAATGAACATAATCTAGCTTAGGAAATTATTAACACATTGGAAACAAGTGATACTGACATCAAAATCCTCCAGGACAAACCAGACACTTTGACACATACCTCTCATCTCAGCTATTTGGGAGGATAAAGCAGAAGGATCACAAATTTGAGGCTGACATTAGCAATTCAGCTAGACCCTGTCTCAAAATGAAATTGTAACGAGGACTGGGGATATATGTAGCTCAGGGCTTGCATAGCACATGCAAGGCCCTGGGTTTAATCCCCAGTGCCAAAAAAAAATATTTCCAGGTAAGACAACTATGGCAGGTTCAGAACAGGGCAGTAGCCATTATGTCAACCTCCTCAAAATAATTAAAGTAAACCTGCACGTTGTTTAGCTCACAATACTAACATGTCTGATTTCTGCTTCTAATAATTCAAATGTAACCATTTAAATATGATCAAAAGTGCATGTACTTTTCTAATGAATCCAACAAATATGAGAAAGATACTCAACTGCATTCTGAAAGCCACCTTATAAGCACATAGGGTCACCAACATTAGGATAAAATGAAATCATGGCATTTCCCAAATGAAATAACCCTAAATATTAATAAATACATAATTTCAAAAGAAAGACAAATTTCTGAAATCAAAAGCAATATCAAAATGATATTTTTAACAGAGGCAAAACACTTAAAAGAGTTCTCCCAAAAGAATTCCTGACAACATAAAGTATCATGCTCATTAGAAGGCCCATCCCTTTGAATGCAAGGAATAAGAGAACTTTCTGATGAATATAAAACTTTAATAGGTCATATGGAAATTCTTTCTAAATTTGAAAAGAAGAAAATATCTGTTTTTTAAAAAGCTTATTTTTAGTAAATGTATCTGAATTACAAAAAAGCAGCTACTGACTTGTCTCTTACATTTTGTAATGATTTGCATCTCAGGAGATTTCATCTATAGTGGTTTTAAATATCAAAAAAATATCAATAGTTGATATTAAAAATATCATCATCCCTCTTCTCTTTTAAAACTGATTTAAAATTTTCTTAGAATAATTTCATATGAATTTGGAAGGGGCACTGTGGTATATGTATGTGTGTGTAAATACATGACCTTTTTTAAAAATTTTTATTTATTTTTAGTTGGAGTTGGACACAATACCTTTGTTTTATTTAATTATTTTTATGTGGTGCTGAGGATCGAACCCAGGGCCTCGAATGAGCTAGGTGAGTGCTCTACTACTGAGCCACAACCCCAGCCCCAATACGTAATCTTTTTAAAGCATACCTCTCATGCTTGAGTCCTGTCAGACATCTTCTGTGTCTGTAGTGCTGGGATGGACTCTATGGGCTCTCACATGCCAGGAAAGTGCTCTGCCACTGAGCTGCACATCCAGTCTCCAAAGATACCTTAATAAGTGGAAATTAATTAAAATCATTTGATTATGAGCATTTCCAAACAATACAATTCTCTCAAACAAGCCAATTCTCTCAATCAAAAACAAAGTAAGCTTAAAGTAATTTTTTAAATATTCCTTATAAAAAATAGAAGTTCACAGAATTAAAAATTCTATACAGGGCTACAGTTGTGGCACAAAGGCAGAGCATTTGCCTGGCATGTGTTAGGCCCTGGGTTCAATCCTCAGCATCACATATAAACAAAACAAATAAATAAAATAAAAAGATCCACTGACAACTAAAAAAAATATTTTAAAAATTATGTAGAAAACTGAAAGAATATTAAATAAAAATTGAATAGGAAAAACTTACTTCACAGACTTGAGGCCATGAGGAATTACATAGTCAAATAACTCTAAAATAAGAAAACTAAATGAATCAATTAGCATACAAAACCTTGGACTGGTACTTAGAGTCCTCCCACTGGATGGGATCCTGGGATCATCAGGGCTCAAAGCTGGCTGTCATCTGCCCTTTAACAAATTCTGGTTTTATTTCAAATGTCCATGATCTATACAGAAAAAAAGAGAGAGAGAAAGGTGATTTTTCTAAATTTATTTTATGGCATATCAAATTCTGATATAGTCAAGATAATTCATCCAATGCAGGATGTCAGTGTTTGTACAACAGACATTATTTGTGCACAATTACAAATATACTGCCAATTAGCACAGCAGCCAGGAGCTGCTCATCCTAGACTAGCAGGGGCAGAGTCTGGAGGAGGGGGAAGGAAGGTCAGGAGGAGGATGAGGGGGCCTGGAAGATGGGTGGGTTCTGGAGAAGAGGCAGGGACTTAAAGAGGAGGAGGGTTGGGCTGGGTTTATGGCTCAGTGGTAGAGCACTTGCCTAGCATGTTGAGGCACTGGGTTCAATATTCAGCACCACATAAAAATAAATAAACAGAATAAAGGCATTGTGTGCATGTGCAATTAAAAAAAATAAAAATAAAAGGAGGAGGGTGAGGTCTGGAGGAGGTGCAGGACAGGAAGAAGGGAAAGATCTGGAGGAGAGGCAGGGTCTGAAGGAGGGGGAGAATGGGTCACAAGGGCACAGGGCCTGGCAGATGGGTGGGAGCTGAAGGAGGGGCAGGTCCTGGAACATGAGTAGGACCTAGAGGAGAGGCAGGGTAGGAAAAAGGGGCAAGGGTGGTACAGGAGGATGTGCAGGGCCATAGAATATTGGTGGGGTCTGGAGGAGACTCAGGGTCTGGAGGGGTGGCTTCTTGCTAATTAAACTCTCCACCAAAAGAAAAAGGTTGGCTGTGGTAGCTCAGTGGTAGAGGGCTTGCCTAGCATGTGTGAGGCAGGGTTTGATCCTCAGCACCACATAAAAATAAATAAATAAAATAAATGTATTGTGCCCTTCTACAACTAAAAAAGAACTTTAAAAAACTAAGCAAAGGTTAAAGAAAGAAAAATGTCGTTCATGAGTTCAGTTCCATAAAAAAATGGAATGTATTTTTAATAAATTCTGGCTTTGTTAGAAGTGATATATTTAAATTTAAGCGGCTCAGAAGGCTGAGGCAGAAGAATCTTGAGTTCAAAACAAGCCTGAGCAAAAGCAAGGCATGAAGCAACTCAGTGAAACCCTATCTCTATAATACAAAATAGGGCTGCCCCACACCAGGCATCTCCCTCAGGCTGCTCTGAGGAGTCTTCCTCAGACAACTCTGAAGAGAAGGGAACCCCATGTGTCCCTAGAAACATGACCCAAGAGAGTCACACACTGGCGTCTCCTCCAGGCCACTCTGAGGAGAAGGGAACCCCAGGCATTCCTAGATCCATGACTCATGAAGTCTCTAAGCCAAGAGTCCGCTGAGGTTGCTCTGAGGAGTGTGATATTGTTCTGAGGAGAAGGGAGCTCCGAGAGTCCCTGGAGGCATGACCCACGAGGGTCCCCAACCTGGGTGTCTCTCTCAATTGCTCTGAGAAGGGAGCTCTGCCCTTCTCTCCCCAATCTCTACCAACATTCCGGTAAGCTGGGGCTCTCCCGGGTTGGTTCTGAATGGGAAGCCAGCTCTCCTCACTCTCAGGGAGGCAGCATTAAAGATGGCGGTGAGGT